TACGTGAGACCCGTCTTAAGAGTATGCCGACGCCATCATGGAGCCCCCACCTGAAGAAACACATAAAGAAACTGGAGAAGGTCCAGAGGTTTGCGACGAGGCTTGTCCCAGAGTTACGAGGGATGGGATATGAAGAGCGTCTGCAGGAACTGAACCTTACGATACTAGAGAAAAGAAGGGAGAGAGGAGATATGATAGGGACATATAAAATACTCAGAGGAATTGACAAAGTGGAAATAGATGAAATGTTCACACGTAATAATAACAGAACGAGGGGACATGGGTGGAAACTGGAAATTCAGATGAGTCACAGAGATGTTAGGAAGTTTTCTTTTAGCGTGAGAGTAGTGGGAAAATGGAATGCACTTGGGGAACAGGTTGTGGAAGCAATACTATTCATACTTTTAAAACTAGGTATGATAGGGAAATGGGACAGGAGTCATTGCTGTAAACAACCGATTGCTGGAAAGGCGGGATCCAAGAGTCAATGCTCGATCCTGCAAGCACAAATAGGTGAGTACAAATAGGTGAGTACACACACACCACACACACACACACACACACACACACACACACACACACACACACACACACACACACACACACACACACACACACACATACACCCAGGAAGCAGCCCGTAGCAGCTGTCTAACTCCCAGGTACCTATTTACTGCTAGGTAACAGGGGCATCAGGGGTGAAAGAAACTTGTAAATGATTTACACCACAGAACAGGTTGAGTGCCTCATCCCTCACACTCCCTGCTCTATTTCTCCAATTTTCACTGGAGAATATTATCCTTCTCATTCTCCTTTCTCGTTTTAACATTGAATAAACATAGTATTGAAATTTAAACGTTTGTACTCACCTAGTTGTGCTTGCGGGGGTTGAGCTCTGGCTCTTTGGTCCCGCCTCTCAACTGTCAATCAACAGGTGTACAGGTTCCTGAGCCTATTGGGCTCTATCATATCTACACTTGAAACTGTGTATGGAGTCAGCCTCCACCACATCACTGTGTGAGTCTATGTATGTGTACTCACCTAGATGTGCTTGCTGGGTCGAGCTAGGCTCCTGGTCCCCGCTTTCTGAACGCTCTTAGAATAATGCATTAACTCCTCACGCTTTTATCAGATTTAGATTTAGAATTTGGAATGGGATTAGCTTCGACGACTTGTCCATCTGACCTATTTAATTTATTGACAGCTTTAACGGTGAATAAGTTCTTCATGACACCTCTATGAATATCATGAAGAACATTTTGCTTATGCTTCCAATGTGTAGCCCAATCGTGGTTATTCTCTCAACGCTAAGTCATTCTGTTCTTCTGTTCTTCTGTTCTCTCAACACTATGAGTCATTCTGTTCTTCTGTTCTCTCAACACTATGAGTCATTCTGTTCTTCCGTTCTCTCAACACTATGAGTCATTCTGTTCTTCTGTTCTTCCGTTCTCTCAACACTATGAGTCATTCTGTTCTTCTGTTCTTCTGTTCTCTCAACACTATGAGTCATTCTGTTCTTCTGTTCTTCTGTTCTCTCAACACTATGAGTCATTCTGTTCTTCTGTTCTTCCGTTCTCTCAACACTATGAGTCATTCTGTTCTTCTGTTCTTCCGTTCTCTCAACACTATGAGTCATTCTGTTCTTCTGTTCTTCCGTTCTCTCAACATCAGAGTCATTCTGTTCTTCTGTTCTTCCGTTCTCTCAACATCAGAGTCATTCTGTTCTTCTGTTCTTCCGTTCTCTCAACACTATGAGTCATTCTGTTCTTCTGTTCTTCCGTTCTCTCAACACTATGAGTCATTCTGTTCTTCTTCCTGTTCTTCCGTTCTCTCAACACCATGAGTCATTCTGTTCTTCTGTTCTTCCGTTCTCTCAACACCATGAGTCATTCTGTTCTTCCGTTCTCTCAACACCATGAGTCATTCTGTTCTTCTGTTCTTCCGTTCTCTCAACACTACCGCGCCAAAATGTCTCGGCCATTATTATTCCCCTCCTACAGTTTCATTGCCACTGCAAATCCTGCAATTATATTAATTTCGCGTTGCCTGTGTGCACAATTTGCCATCACACCTGCATATTGTTTCTTTTATCATCGCACTTAGTATTAATGTTTGTTTGTTATATTTATTGAAAAGTTAATTTAAAATGCTCTTGATTGGTGTTTCTCAGAGGCTTAGAGGAACCCTCACCAGCCCTCAGAAGGCTAGAGGAAGCCTCACCAGCCCTCAGAGGCCTAGAGGAAGCCTCACCAGCCCTCAGAGGCCTAGAGGAAGCCTCACCAGCCCTCAGAAG